GCGCCGGGCTGCGGGTGGGCCGGGGCCGCCCTCAGGGGATCCCCACAGCCAGGCCGGGGCCCTGTAGGCCCTGGGAAGAACCTGGGAGGAACCTGGGAGAGACACTGCGGATGCGCCGGGCGGGCTCTGGCTTTGTGGCGCTCCGGGGCTGGGGGGGTCGCGCCTTACGTTCAACCCCGGTGAGTGAGAACCGTGCCGTCACTGCTAGTCCCCCTTCACGGGTGGGCGGTGCGGTGGATACCTCAGCGGGGTGAGCTTGTTTTTCACGTGCCTGCTTGTTTTTAGCGAGGTCTGGAACACTTAACCGTTAGGTGAACGAACAAGGCCTTCTTTTGTACGGCAAATCAAGTGTGAAACATGTCTTAACTGACCTATTTTGTCCATGATTTAGGAGGTAGCAGAGAATGTCTTTTCGTGGAAGAGGAGGTGGAGGAGGAAGAGGAGGCGGCTTCAATCGTGGAGGAGGTGGCGGTGACAGAGGTGGCTTTAATCGAGGCGGACGAGGCGGCTTTGGACGGGGAGGTGGACGCGGAGGCTTCAACAGAGGCGGCTATGACCAGGGGCCTCCAGAAAGGGTAGTTTGTAAGTCACGTGAAGCGACTATATTAACTTAATTTAGTGTGACTGCTCCAGATCTTTAGCTTGTTCGTTCTTTATTTCAGTTCTGGGAGAGTTCATGCATCCGTGTGAAGACGACATTGTTTGTAAATGTAAAACGGAAGAAAACAAGGTGCCTTATTTCAATGCCCCGGTGTACTTGGATAATAAGGAACAGATTGGCAAAGTGGATGAAATTTTCGGACAGCTACGAGATTTTGTATCCTTCAGAAGTGGTGTGACATACAGTGTTTTGTAAAGGCTGATGGATCATTAGATGGAATTCCTCCAGGATTTTAAAGTAGTTCAAAGTTTGGCCACCAGTTAGATGTGAACAGTCACGAGTGCAGCTGCAGCTGTTGGTGTCGGTGGGTGCCCTGTTCACATTAGGTGCCTATCTAAAAACTTTTCCAGTAGGACAGAGTACCTTATGTCAGGCAGAGGTTTTCAGTCATTTAATCCTGAGTTTTAGTTAAGCAGGATTGGCCAGCAGCTCTTCCTGATCTTAGGAATCATAGAATGGTTTGGGTTGGAAGGGACCTTAAAGATCATCCAGTTCCCACCCCCTGCCATGGGCAGGGACACCTTCCACTGGACCAGGTTGCTCCAAGCCTCATCCAGCCTGGCCATGGATACTTCCAGGGATGGGGCATCCACAGCTTCTCTGGGCAACCTGTCCCAGTGTTCCCCACCCTCTCTGGGAAGAATTTCTTCCTGATACCTAGTCTAAACCTCACCGTTTTCAATTTAAACCTGTCACCCCTTGTCCTGTCACTACAGGCCCTTGTGAAAAGTCCCCCCCAGCTTCCTTGTAGCCCCTTCAGGTACTGGAAGGCTGCAATAAGGTCTCCTCCAGGCTGAACAAGCCCAGTTCTCGCAGCCTGTCATCACAGGAGAGGTGCTCCAGGCCTCTCGCGTGCTGCTGAGCTGAAGGGTTCGTACAAGACCTCATCTGGGGTTACAGGCAGCGCCTGCTGCTTCGCTGTGGGATGAGCCTGGGCATGTGGCTGGTCCCGCAGTCCCTGCTGCCTCTTCCCTTCCCACAGGCAGGCAGCGGTACCCCCAGCTAGCAGAGCCCCTGCTTTGTTCCCGATGAGACTTGAGGTTAAACAGGTCATCACTTGCTGTGCAGGCTTGTTTCTTTACAATTGTGTTCTTCTGGGCTCTCTTCGCTGCAGTGTTCTTCCTTAGGCCTTAATATGTGGAAGGAAAAAATGATTTTACCATGAAATACCGTGTTTGTAACTGTGGCAAAACCCCAGGAAGAAATGGAAATATTTTCCCCTGATCTTTTCATTGTATTTGTGGTGATGTTTAGCGTCGTTTATAAAATACTAATTTAGAAAGTCTCTGAATGTGCTTTTCCTACAGGAATCGGGATCACAATATCTGATGTTTTATTCCTGCTATGTTCCTTAAAGAAACTTAACAGTATTTTTCAGTGAAACTGTGTGAGAACATGAAAGCCTCTTCATTTAAAAAGCTGCAAAAGGTTAGCCAGTCTCAGTGACAGAGTTCTGCTGCATGTCATCAGTTGGAGAAATCCACTGTCTCATCAGAGAGTCAAAGCTTGCCTCAGTTTTTGTGAACTGAAAAGCTAGTTGTCCTTTGCAAACACAAGTGTTCGTTTCTTCTTCCTTTTCATTGCTGTAACTGCAACATTCTTCCTTCTCCTCCCCCGCAGAAAAAAGATGTAACAAACAAAACTCATGCAAATACCATCTCTATTTTAATCACTTTATAGCACTGCAATTTCTTGTGTGCATTCTCTGTTTGGCCATTTGCAGAGGACAGTTTGACATGAAGGGTAAAGACTAATTGTGGATATTTATAAAGAGAGATTAATGTGCTCTTTAGCTGTGGTATTTTCAAAGCCTAATGGAACTCTTTTCCTGCAGTTTTACATTGATCCAGCAAAGCTGCTGCCCCTTCAGAGGTTTTTGCCAAGGCCACCTGGAGTAAAAGGTGCTCCCAGAGGAGGTGGTAGAGGAGGACGAGGTGGTGGGCGTGGAGGAGGAAGAGGCGGTGGCAGAGGTGAGCTCCCAAGGATGGAAGCTACTGAATGTTGGGGTTTTTTTTTGGCATGGGATGGGTTGTTTGGATTTTTCTACTTTGTTTTTTTCTGTTTTGTAAAGCTGCAATTGAGTACTTGAATATCAACAAGTTGTATTGCAGGGACAATGTTATGCTTATTTCTGTTTGATGGTTCAGTGGAAGGGACGGTGATACCTTCCCAGTGGCAAGATCCAGGCTTCTCAGTAACACCCCAAAGCGTAGGGAGGAGTATAAACTGATGTCTAACAAAGACAGAAAGTGTGACTGCTAAGAAAACTTGTGGTAGAAGTTGTAGATAACACACACTGGAAACTGTCAGTGAAAGCTGTATTTTTAGTATGTTCTAAAAATCTGGTTTGGTGAAAATACTTGCAAGTTGAGTGTTTGAGGGAGGGGTGAGTGACCTGGTAGATCTCATCCTTGGCTTTTTGAACATCGTGCGTGACGTACTCCTTAAGTCAAGCTGAAGTTCATCTTCTCTTACGTCGCAGTTCCTTCACCTCTCCCTACCCTGCCCCTTTGCAGCGAGGCACAAATCATAGAATCCCAGAAGGGTCTGGGTTGGAAGGGACCTTAAAGATCATCCAGTGCCACCCCCTGCCATGGGCAGGGACACCTTCCACTAGACCAGGTTGCTCCAAGCCTCATCCAGCCTGGCCTTGAACACTTGCAGGGATGGGGCATCCACAACTTCTCTGGGCAACCTGTCCCAGTGCTTTCCAAGTTTTCCAAGTTTCCAAGTTTTTTTTTTTGTTTGTTTGTTTTTAATGTTCTGTTGAGTTGTAATTAATTAATAGTTGTAATTAATTTTTTACTGTCCTGAAAGAAGTTTATCGTGGAGTTTTGTCAGTGTTTGTAACACGTTGGACGTCGTATATCGGATACTAAACACTATCCAAACTGTGGGAGATGGTCCCTGGCAGAGACAAGGATGAGGAACTGACCTGGTGACCATCCGACAGTGAACAGTTGTTATCACAACAAAGAATTTATGTGGTCCTCAGAGTGTAATTTCTTTACGTTTAGGAGGATTCGGAGGAGGAAGAGGTGGAGGAAGAGGAGGAGGATTCAGAGGAGGAAGAGGTGGCGGAGGAGGAGGATTCAGAGGGGGAAGAGGTGGCGGAGGAGGCTTTCGGGGTGAGTGTGCGCTCGTTACGTTTCAGTTGGGAGTGGCTCCTGGGTTTATTTAAGCTTTTAGGTGTTACACAGAAAGTTGTGTGGTTTTAATCGTGTAAGGGTGTTTGTGGTTGCGTGCAGAAAGTCGCTGCGCGTCACGGTAGCCAGGTGACAGTGTTCTGCAGTTCTTGATGCTCGAAAGTCACCTGGCTACCGTGACACACAGCGACAGTGTTCTGCAGTTCTTGATGCTTGTGTAAGGCCATGCTGGTGGTTTACACTCAAAAAGGGTTGTGAAAACAGATAATGAAGAGAATTTATTTTCTCTATCAACTCATTTAGTGTTATGTGCGTAATTCATTAGCTCTAAATGCATCCAAGATGTGAATTGTTCTGTGTGTTTCTCTTCCCTCTCAAAATAGGAAGAGGGTATTAAAGGTGGAGCCACGAGTATCTCCCCGCTGCCTTACCACATCATCTGCACAGGTGAAGAAAAAGGAAAACTTTTTGTAAAGGACCTTGAAAAAGTTCTTCTTTTTATAAAGAACTTGAAGCTGTAAAATGACAGTTACTTTTACACTCAGTGACTGATCGGCACACGAGGACAGCGTCGCCCCAGGGAAGAGCTGAAGCCTGCTCAGAACATACTTGAACTTTTTTGACCAACCAGGAGTCGGTGTTGTTCCTGTTTCGGCCAAGTGACATAGTCAGTGCTTGACTTCGTGTTGGAGCTCAGAGTAAACAACCTGTCGATCCGTTTGTTCAAAAAAACCCCTCTGGGTTCCCTGCGTGCCTGTTGGCCCGTCTGACCCCGTTGCCTGCCTGTGTCTCATCCCTCGTTCTCATCCTCTCTTATAGTGGATCTTCTGGGTCGCGCTGAAGCGGACATGCTGTTTAAACAACCTTTGTGAACACAAACTAATCTTCAAAATTTCATGTTGAGGGAATTTTTTTATACACAATAATGTATAAACCGAAAAGAAAGCAAAGGCTGTTTTGTGAATTCTTCTGTGTTAATCTCAGTGAAAGCCAGAGGCATTAAGACGTCTTACTCATTAGATACCAGCTTCTAAGAACAAGGTTAATACTATTCTTAAGTCACTTAACAGTACCCAGTCTCACTGATAATGTAATTTCTAAGGGGTTTTAGCGATCCCCACCTCCCCCTCAGCCTGTTTCTCTTGAAGTTTGGTTGTCCTGGCACTGCATTTCTGTGGCACTCTGAGCTTGCTAGGGGTAAGGGTAGACAAAAAAAAGCTAGTCCCGGTTTCTTGAGGATGAAGGGGAACAGGGTGCCTCTCTACTCCTTAACTTTGGAAATCAGAATAGAAAAGTGGAGTCTTCCTGGATTTCGTCTGGAGCCAGCAGTCCGGGCACAGGCTCTCACACCAAGCGCTTCTGAAAAAGGATCTGTAGGATAACTACAGGGAAGTATTTTGAGCGTCTTGTGCAAAGTGGCAAGAAGTACATTTCAGAATGGATTGTACCGTTACGCTTTCTGATTACTGACTGCGGAACGAAGGAAAGGAGTTGGGTTCACTTTCTGCTCAACAGGCAGAAACAGGTAACTTGTCAGCACCAGGAGCGGGCGCTTACTGGTCGTTTGCACAGACGCGACTGTTGGGGTGGGTAATCCTGGGGCAAAACTTGAATCGAGGTAGCAACACAAACGCTCAGGGATTCAGCAAAGTCTGAACAGAAGCTGCGTAGGACAACAGCTAAACACGTTCTTCAGCTTAACAAAACCCAAACCATTGGAATTCACACCAGATGCGCTTTTGTGAGAAGAAATGGGGTGTCTTGTTCCACCGCAGCACCATCAGGGTTTGAGGGACAACGATTACATCCCCGCTATTGCTGCAGACTTCAGCCAGGTTAGTTGAACCCAGCCCTCTGTAAAGGCCGAGACTTCTGTCGCCCTGTGTTACTAGAGCTAAGTGACGTAGGGCTCTGGTGTGAGGCCCTGTTGAATCGCCCTTCAGACAAAATCTTTTGCGAGTCATTGCGTCTCTGGCATCCACGTCGCAACAGTGGCACGGATGGTGGCATCGAGCGCAGCCCCAGCAGTTTGCGGATGACACCGAGCTGTGTGGTGCGGTGACACGCTGGAGGGAAGGGATGGCATCCAGAGGGACCTGGACAGGCTGGAGAGGTGGGACTGTGCCAACCTCATGGAGTTCAACAAGGCCAAGGGCAAGGTCCTGCCCCGGGGTCGGGGCAAGCCCAGCACAAGGACAGGCTGGTGGAGAGTGGATAGAGAGCAGCCCTGAGGAGAAGGACTTGGGGTGCTGGGGGATGAAACGCGGGACATGAGCCGGCCGTGTGCGCTGGCAGCCCAGAAAGCCAACCGGATCCTGGGCTGGATCAGGAGAAGTGTGGCCAGGGGGGCGAGGGAGGGGATTCTCCCCTCTGCTCTGCTCTGGGGAGACCCCCCTGGAGTGCTGTGTCCAGCTGTGGAACCAACATCAGAAGGATATTGACCGGTTGGAGCGAGTCCGGAGGAGGCCCCGGAGATGCTCCAAGGGCTGGAGCCCCTCTGCCCTGGGGACAGGCTGGGAGAGTTGGGGGGTTCAGCCTGGAGAAGGGAAGCTCCGGGGAGACCTTAGAGCCCCTTCCAGTGCCGGGGGGTCTACAAGGAAGCTGGGGGGGACTTTTCACAAGGACAGGGAGTGACTGGAGAAGGGGTGATGGGTTTAAACTGAAAGGAGATTGAGATGGGGCATCAGGAAGGAATTCTTCCTGGAGAGGGTGGGAGCACTGGGACAGGTTGCCCAGAGAAGCTGTGGATGCCCCATCCCTGGGAGTGTCCAAGGCCAGGCTGGATGAGGCTTGGAGCAACCTGGGCTATGGAAGGTGTCCCTGCCCATGGCAGGGGGTGAGGCTGGGTGGGCTTTAATGTCCCTTCCAACCCAAACCACTGGGATTCTAAATCTTTGCTAAACAGAGGGTGATACACGGAGGTGTAAAGCTGAAATCGTTACCCTTTGGGAATGGCTTTAGGACTGCTGCTTGTGTTTTCCGTATTTTCTCTTCTGGCTCAATATCTTTTGTAGATTTTTCTGTGTCACTTTGACACAGAAATCTGATGAAGCACAGAAAATAACTGGCCTGTTTCCATGTTGGCAGTGCTTGCTGGTACGGGGCAGGGAGGATTCTCCCCAGCGCCGACACGTTATGGACGTTTGCCTGAAGCAGCGCTGGGCAGCGACACAGCGGTGCGGGGTTACCCGCGCTCGGGGAGCGTTGCCTTGGCAAGAAACAGCCTTGTCCTTAAAGAAAACCATGGCGGCTACATGGAGCATGGCAAGCAAAAAGCTTTGTGGAGTCACGTTTTTCAGGGCATTTTCTTCATTCAGCTGAAAATCTCTTTATTTTAGGGTTCACCTTTTCTAATCAACCATTTAAATTTAGTAAAGGTCTCTAAGGGAGGGAAAATGTCATTTATTAATTTGCTTTCTGTTGGATTTGAGCCATTTGCATGTTTTTGGAGAGAAGTAAGTGCTGCCCTACAGAGCCCTCTCCTGGTGATGTGCTTAATGACCGTGGGAGGGTTGTGGGTTTTTTGTGGTGTGGTTACCCCTGAAAATGGGAAAGAGGTTTTGGATTGGCTTTTAATTTTTTTTAATGCAAACGGGATGTTTCTCTCCTCTCATCAGCTGAGGATTGAAATGCACTTTACACCTGACTGAAAGCAACTTGCTAAACCCCGCAGTGAGTTTGGCGTGGCCCCGTAGCTCTGCCGAGAGCGACAGAAGGAGGAGTGGGCCTCAGTCGTAAACAGTGTTTTGTCGCTGGGACAGGTGGGAAGGAAAAGCATCACTTGATGCTGTGAAGTGCCTCTGGCGCTGGTAATACTGCCTGCCTTGGAGGATAACAACAGCCTGAGCTTTTAGATTTGGTGTTTTCCTTCTGCCAGTGTTAAAAAGCAAGGTGGTAGCCCCTGTTTTACCTGGCTTAGGAACTGTGGTTCTGACTTTCTGGGCTATTTGTTTACTTTAATGTTTAATTCCTTGCTGTATCTTGGCTTTATGAACTGCAGCATGGCAGAAAAAAATTACTTTTAGGTTAATGATAAGTAATGTCTGCCTTTATTTCTGATTTTTCTTTTCTCCCAATTCCTGGTGCTGTAAAATTAGCTGAATTTAAGAGGAGATGAAGACAATGCGATGCTGTGTAGGATGGGCTGCACACATCCAGAACTCGAGTTTTAGCCAACAGGCAAGTATAAAATCTGTGTGCTCTCATTAACTACTGCTTTAAGTAAGTCTGGAATCCCATCTGCATAAAAATAGCAGTGCTTTGCTTTTTGGAGTTCAGCATTGCCAGCTCTGACTTCTGGGGAAGCTGCAGGGTCTGAGCTGCTTTTGAAAACCTTGCCAAAGTTTCAGGGGAGGAAAGCAAAGATATCGAATGATCCCTATGCTTTTATCTTTCCAGGCAGGACTGTGGGGCGCTGGGGAAGTGGCTTCAGTGCCAAACAGATCATCTTTCCTTTCAGAAACCCTCCCACCCTGTTCCTGCCTAATCCTCTTCTGACAGGAAAGACACGGCCATGATACGGGTGCCCTGAGAACGGGGAGTGTCGGTCTGTGGCATCAGAGAAGATGCTTGTGGGTGGCACTGGGGCGTCTCCTGTACTCGGCACTGGTGAGGCCGCACCTCGAGTACTGTGTTCAGTTTTGGGCCCCTCACTACAAGAAAGACATTGAGGTCCTGGAGCGTGTCCAGAGAAGGGCCACAAAACTGGTGAAGGGTCTGGAGAATATGTCTGATGAGGAGCGACTGAGGGAACTGGGCTTGTTTAGCCTGGAGAAGAGGAGGCTGAGAGGAGACCTGATCACTGCCTACAACTCCCTGAAAGGAGGTTGTGGAGAAGGGGGTGTTGGTCTCTTCTCCCTAATGACAGATGATCGGACGAGGGGGAATGGACTCAAGCTGCGCCAGGGGAGGTTTAGATTGGATGTAAGGAAGAAGTTCTTCACTGAAAGGGTTATCACACACTGGAACAGGCTGCCCAGGGA